ACTAACTTAACGATTGTCTTGCTTAGCAACGAAAATTTTGGGCTCAGTTGTGGTCATAGTTGAGGACTACCTGTAGTGCAAAACCATTCAGTTTTCTGTGTATTATGTGTATTTACAATCAGATCACATTTTCAGAACACCTAGGGGCTTTTGCACTGTGTTCTACAGAGGGCTAGCCCCAAAGGGGATTTGGTGTCATGGATCTGCCTCCCCAGGCCCCTCTCCAGATGCACGTTCAGAGGAGGAGGGTGAGTTTGAGTAGGCAGAGGAAAGCCAGAGCTGAGTGTTGGTCAGGATCGGGGCTTGGAGAGTGCTAGCTTGACAGAGCAGCCTCAGATGAGTTATAGGCTGTGGCTGAGCGAGGTGAGCCATAGATGCAGCAAATTGGCCAGGAGGTGCCAGGAGAGAACCAGGAGCAGCTGCTGCCCATTAGCAATGAGGAGAAGGTGGAGTCCAAACCTCCTCCTGATCCAAGGACATGTAGAGCAGAGAGGAGACAGGCACAATGCTGGTCAGCTAGACTACTCGCAAGGAAGCAAACTCACCTCTCATGCCTACGTAATCCCGCCCTGAGGACTTTGAGGTTGCTGGAGCAAAAGGCCCAGTTCTGTGCCTTGTGTGCTTATGCTGTGTATCCTGACTTGTGGACTACTTTCCTGGATTTTGTATGTGCCTATTGGACTCTGTTACCCAATGACTCTTGCTGTGCTAAGCTTGGAATCCAGACCTGTGCAACAGTGTGCTTTCGGATGATCTGTTTGGGGAGTTTGAATAAACACCTGCAAACTCTTGCTGTACATGCATGTGTGTGATAGGAGTGGGGCAGCACATTTGGAAACTGTAGATGGTCCAGAATGCAACAGTGTGGATAGTTCTGGGCTTATCTCAGTACAGTATGCCTGTGTTACAGCAGTGCTTAGAAGCTGCATGTTCTCAAAAGCATCTGGATGCAATTTAAGGTGTAGGTAGTTACCTATAAAACTCTATATGGTGCATGGATAGGCTATTTGGGGGAGCATCTGTCCCCAAATACGGTATAGCTGGCCACCCCACCAGATCCAACAGAATGAGCATGTTTGGGGTCTTTAAGGATGATGCTCAGATGAAACAGTGCCATGTAGTAGGACCCCAAAAGCATATTTTCTCTGCCCTATGGAACAGCACATTTCCTGAGATCTGAAAGGTTGCAATCATATTAGTCTTCTAAAAAGACCTGGTTTTTCTCTCAGGCATTAGGGCCGGGTTGTCAGTGAAGTCCAACATGTATTGGGTGTTGATTAGAAAGTAATATTTTAGGAGCTTCGACTATATTATACAGTTGTTTTTATGATGTTCTAGGTTCTTATTTTTATTAGATGGTGAACTACCTAACGACACAAAGTTGAGATGGGCAGCTGTATAAATTCTCTGAATAAATATTGAATGAAGTCATGTTGAAGGTTTTAAAATATTAATTTGTTTTCTACTCCATCACAGATTACGCAGAATGTAATCAAAATAGATGTGAGCATGAGGCAGAGCAGGACAAGCTCACTTAGCTTTCCAAGCATGTAACCATACCCGTCATTACATTCTTCAAGTCTTGGCATTAAATACCTGATTGGATCAAAAATTATTATCCTTAATTTTATGACGAGACATCACCTAATGCTATAAAAAAAGAACCCACATTTTAGATGTGGCAAAGTGCGTAATTGTAGTCTACAAATAATTTCCAAATTATTGGAACTTAGTATGAGGGGCACATGGCATGGATTTTGTAACTTGCTAACTAACATAGTTACTTTGTATTTTAATTTGCTTTATTTTCTCTCTTTTAAAATGATGTTCAGGTTTATTAGCTTTTAACATTCCTAAATCGATAAATAGGCTGGAGACTATCTCCAGATAAGAAAAAGGTTGTTAGTACAAATTGGGGTCTGGTTTATGTCTTTTGTGAACTCCAAACAACAATTTAAGCCCCTTCTGATGTCAGACCTTATTTTAATGAACGTGTGTAATATTATGGGATGCAAATATGTAACATATTTGACTACGTAACTGACTTCCTATGGAAAGGGAAAGTTATTTTTATCCTGTCCAATCAACTTTCCTCTTCCATTTTCTTTGTTATGTTAATTATAAAAAGAAATGTAACATCAATCAATCAATCAATCAAATTTAATTTATATACCGCCCTTCTCCCGTAGGACTCAGGGCGGTTCACAGCATATTTAAAAAACAGATACTATACACAATACAAAAAATACAAAAAATACAACAATATAAACCCCAATAAAACCGAATTAAAAACCAAATATTGACGGCTGTGTTTCCAATTAAAATTGCATCTAAAATCATCCCTACCTAAAATCCTCCCTAGGTCAGGCCCGCTTGCTGAAAAAGCCATGTCTTGAGGGCGCGGCGGAAAGTAAGGAGATCCGGAATCATCCGGATCTCGGGGGGCAGTTCGTTCCAGAGGGTGGGGGCACCCACAGAGAAGGCCCTCCCCCTGGGGGTCGCCAGCCGACATTGCTTGGCCGACGGCA